TTGGGGGTCTGTGTGGTCTTCAGCCCTGAAGCTCTCAGTCAGTGCAGCTCTTTTTGCTAAGAACAGTCCAAGGTTTATTAATCCATTGGTGAAGGGATTACAGGATCATCTACTGATGAGAGGAATCTTCTGGATGAAAAGAGTCCAGAACGCAATCCCCCCTGAGGTGATTTATACATTTGGGCCAACAGAGACCAGCTGAGAGACTCGAGCAGTCTTCTCTTCCCTAGGAGCTGCCCTTGCTGGAGGTTCTCACATTCATTGGGATGGGACACTAAAAATGGGGAAAGCACCAATCCCCCTCTGGCTATTGTTCTGCAGAAAAGAATTGGGTAAATATTTGGCTCCTGAAGGGAAGGAGGGTTGGGAACCCCAATCAGAGGAGGAGGAGCAAATGGCTGAAAGTTTCTCAGCTCTTTTCAAGAGATGACTTCAGACACTCTTTTCTGCCTATTTGTCAGTTTTATTTCCTATATTCCATCAGCCCCACATGTGCTCCATGTGGTTCTGGAACAAATGGTGTGCCCCAGTAGCTGGCTGAACCCAGCCCATGTCTGTGCTCAATGCACCCTCTGCACAGCTCCTCTGCATGTGAGGGCCTTACATCTGCCCACCACCTTCCAAGAAAGAATTTGCCTTATTTCAACACTGTAAAAATTTCCATTTCATTTAACTCTAAGTAAAAAAAATGCCACGAACATGAAGGATATTCTGAAAAGGCTTTGTCAAAGCCAATTTATCTTAAGGCAATCTGCCCTTTGGTGGCTTCAGTGTGCCTCTAATGGAACAGGGCAGAGCTCTGCCTCCCCATCTCTTTTCCTGGCAAGTGTAGCCATTGGCTGCTTGGTGTGAGAAGCCTCTACAGGTCTCCAGCTCAGCCTGATTGCACTTTCTGAGACTCTACAGACTTGTATCTAAAAAAAGAATTGATTAGGACAATGAATGCTAAGACTGATCATTAAATATTTAAACCTGGTAGGCTTTCAAGAGGGCAGGCTTGGCCGCCTGTGAAAACACCCTTGTTTTGCCAAATCTAAGTTGCTGTTGTCAGTTTTCAGAAGGCTTGAGGTAATTTGTATGTGAGATTTAATATTCTGTGTTTTTTAAGGGAAAAAGAAGACAGAGACTGTGCCTTTAATTGCGTCTTGTAGATTGAAACAAGTAACCATACATTAAAAAATGTAGCTGGGAAAATGCATCTCTCCCTCCCTGGTGTGGGAGTGAAAATGCTGATGGGATCATTGCCCAAAATTAAACAAACACAAATATTCTAACCCATATATCACACTGATCACTAACACAGGAAATAGCATCTTGTTACATGGATTGTGGCTGTGGTTTCTGCTCCAAACTTCTGGAAACAAGAGAGCCCAGAATCTTCTGGATGCTGGGACATTGGAGCCTGGTACTGCTCTCTCCCCATCGTATTATTTTCCATCTCTGTTTTCATTCACTTGATAGTTCTAGCACCATGGGAATTTTTAGCTAAGCCTTTTCTCAGGAAAAAAAAATTCCAGTTATTGATAGTTTTTGTCTTGCTGTGTAATGTGCTGCATTTTCAAGTGTTTTGGCAGAATCTATTTGTCCAGTTAATTCTTATTGCTAATAAGAGTCAGTCTTTCACCAAAAGGGAGGAAAAGATATTTGTATCAGTTTAATCACAGCTGTGACAGAATGTCTATTGATAATGAACAGAACTCTTTGCAGGATATAGAATTTAAGTGCAGATGTGACCTCTGTGTGCAATTTGGGATCTGAACAGAATAGACAGACTGGGAAAGGAGGAGAACAGTGCATAATCTGAGGATGGACAGGTAGTGAGGGAAAAAGAAATGTGGAAATTCCCCCAGGTAACTCCCCCCAGGCAGTTGCCATCTCTCAAGGCAGATCACAACAACAACCCAACCCACACTGTGGGAGAGGATTGTTTGTAGGCTCTTTTTCACCACAAAGATTTTCCTATATGTTCATTTGGAGAGAGCACAGCTGCCGCTTTTCTTTTCTTTTCT